ACTCTCGATACTCATAATCAACAGCGTCAATATAAAAATGAAAAAAGAAGATAATAATGATAAATTAGAGAAAAGGGAATATAATTTATTTAATATAGATATAAACAATGTACGCAGAAAATAATAACATAGATTACAATACTTGCGACGTGCCAACGTTAATGCAAATAGATACAGGAGGTTTACCATGCTACCGATTGATATTGCGAAAAAAATTGGAATTACAATTTTAAAAGAATTGAATGCGAAATCAACAAAATATTATGGAAGAATGATAAAAGTGTTAGGCAGAGTTCAGAAGCGAAACACGAAATTAAAACTCAACATTTAAATGCCTATATGGTCCAACCTGGGTAAGACCTGGATAAAAGTTTTTGGGAATTTGTGAATTTAATAAATTTGTGAATTTAATAGACGTAGGTTATGATTATGCAATATAAAAATTAATCAAACAATGTGATTTTAAATTGAATAAAGGGTCGTTATTACGAAACTGTGTCAAACTACATCTAAAACAAGACGCAACACTCTAGATTATACCACCAAGGAGTATTCCTTATTCAAAAATTGATTTAATAACAAAGAACTACAAAAATGGATAACAAAATCATAGGGCCAGTTCAAGATGTACGCTAGGTTAGTCTTCTCACTCCAGTTTTTAAGAGATAGCTTAGCTCACTTCATCTCTGTGTTAACTTCAAAAATACTATAAATCCTGCTTTGAAAGATTTTAAATATCCGATACCACCAATTAACGATTTAATTTCAAAATTATCAAAAGGCAAAAGATTCACAAAAATTGATTTCAAGAACACCTTTTTTCAAGTTCCCATATATAAAGAGTCAAAGAATATACTCACAATATCTCACAAAGGTTATTACAGATTTGCACGACTTCCATTAGGATTAAAAACTACATCAACTATTTTTCAACAGACAATGGATAAAATATTTGGTGATGAAAGATATTATATTTTATATCGATGATTTACTCACTACTGGATACAGTTATGAAGCTCATTTAAAAAACTTTACAGTAGTTTTCAAGAGAATAACAAAATATGGTTTAATACCTAATCAAATTTTACTAATAATATTTTTCAAAAATGAAATTCGTTTTTTGGGACATAACATACGCAAATAGTATATATTAAAAGCTATTACAAACATGTCAGAACCTAAAACAAAAGAGGAATTAAAAACATTTCTTGGCATGGCTAGTTATTATTATTTTTATAGATATAGAGGATCGTTTATATAAAATAGTAAACAAACAAGTATTATTAAAACACAATTAAAACTATATAAACAGGCGCGTACGCAGAGGGGGGGGGATAGGGCTGTTCTATTTAATATTGAAGGAGATGATAAAGAAAAACCAATTGCTTTTGCTTCAAGAACTTTTATAAAATCAAAAGCAAATTACACAAACTTGAAAGAGAAGTCTTAACTCTGGAATACGCAATAAAATAATTTCAAGAATATCTCATTGAAATAAAATTTACAATAATTACAAACCATAAATTTGTGTATATTTTTACCAAGTGTTTAAAAGACAGTAATTCAATATCTATGAGTACAAAAAATGGAATTTGGTGATAGAATCGCACGATTTTACAAGAATCCATTGAGTTGGAAAACGCAATATTCTACCAAATTGCTTATCGCAATTACCATAGATGAATACAGAAATTATGACACAAAATGTGGATAAAAAATTTGATAATGAATTATGGTACATATAAGTAAATTTTGAAATGATAATGATTATTTATAACATTAAGAAAGGTCAATTAATAAAGAATAAAACTTACAAAAATATGGAAATGGAATTAAGTTTGAAAAAAATTGTCTTTTTAAGGAAATAGAATTATACCACGCAAAATAAAATGTTACGATAAATACATAAACCATTGGAAAAAACTAAATTATTAGCAAATGATTATTTATGGTTGGCCTGGTATTAACACAGGTATAGATCAAGATGTAAAAAATTATGATTCATGCAACAAATGGGTTGATCTCATAATATACAGCATCCATGGGCAACATCAACAAGAAATTTTGAAGGTATACACATGATTATGCCCAATTTGAAGAGAATAATTGGATGATTGTGAGTTCATGCCTTCAACAAATTCCCAGTAATAAAGTGAATGAAGAATATAACTACAGAATCAACTATTAAAGAATTAATGAAAATCATAAGTTTGTTGACATACCTGAAAATATAGTCAGTGATAATGGAACCAATTCTTTTAGTCATTGCTGCTCCACATCACCAACAGTCCAATGGCCAGTGTGATGGTGAAATATATGAAAATGAGTATGAAAAGGAATAAAGAAAACAACAATAAAATAGACTTAGCTTTAGAAAAATTCTTATAATTAGCGAAACACTTAAAAACTAATATGATACCCAGTAAATAAATTTTTTCAAGATTAATTAGAACCAAATGTAATTTAATTAAAATTAAACCACTCGAAGATAAAGATAATGAATTAAAACGGAAAATACATCAAAATGAAATATTGAGATAGGTGACAACATTTTATATGAAACTAAAAAGAATATTATAGCTCATAATAGTAGTGCAACAGATTTGAAAATTACAAATTGTGATATAACACTAATAATTTTACACCTAACACACAAATTTTTAGATGGGAAAGAGGTAACAAACAAATACAAAATTAAGAATATAAAATCAAGATCAAAGTCATAATAATCAAAGACCACAATAAAATATTGCTTAAAAATTAGAAGATTTCGTAAAAAATTTAAAAAAAGTTTAAAAAAATTATAAAGAATTTTAAATTTAAAATAAATTAACTTTAAGCTAAATTTTGATATAATAAAAAAAGCTATAACCAATACGTGATATAAACCGGGAAATATAAAATTAATGTAAATATTATAGCTCCCATAATGTATATAAGGATTATTTTGGTTATGAAAACTGATAGAAGTTCACGAATGATGGAAAATTGACAAACGATAACCATCAAGCTCAACAAACATGCAATGATCGATTTAGAAATCAGCAAGCTTGACAAATGATGTCAATAGATGAAGTGCGAAGCTAAAAAAGAAAGAGTTAAATGTTAAAGAATCAATGTTAATTTTTTTTATTATATTTAGTCATTTATTTTACTTTATTCAAAAAACATTTTATTTTAATTATATTTTTCTTTTTTTCTTTCAGAACATGTACATATAAGTATTTATTAATAGTTTTGTATTTCATTTTATGTGCTATTTAAGAAGGTATTCAAAACTAAATAATTATTATAGTCTTTATATTTCATTTCATTTTATTTTATTTTACTTTATATTATTTAAGAAGGCATTAAAAACTAAATAATTATTATAAGTTTTTGTTGTAATTGTGGTAACATGCAAATTTATTAGATTAAGAAAAACGCCAGACAGGCAGATTACTTTTAAATAAAATTACGAAGACGAAAGATATTCAAATCTATTCAAGAAAAAAGAATTAAATCTCGGTACAAATTGAGACTATGCAAATGTTGATTAAAGAAAAAGGATATATAATGGAGAAATTATGATGCGAAAAAGATGATTAAATTATGATTTTACGAACTTAATTTTTAATTTTAATTTTTTTAATCTTTAATTTTTAATTTTAATTTGTATTAATTTTATTTTGATTATGTTTTTATCATATTATTTAATAAAGATTTAGTATCATTTTAGTTCTAACCCTTCTTTATTTGACGAATATTATAGAAAAGTATATATAATCGAGGATATTTGTCTGATTTAGTATCATTTTAGTTCTAACCTTTCTTTATTTGACAACGGTTCTAATCTCTCAATCCTTATGAAAAACATCAAAATGTTACATTGGTGTTGGAGAGCGGAGGAGACCGGTGTAGCGTGATTAATTAACTCCCCTTATCACATACCTCTGAGTTAAGTAATAACTATGATAGATTAACTCCCCCTTTGATAAATAGTGTTAAGGAGGGAGTTAATTAGTAACAAATATATTAATTACAATGTAAATTGATAGGGAGAGTTATATGATCATGCAGTTTTTTTTAATATTGCTGAAATTCTTGTAAATTTGATTTTCGAATTTAAATTTTGAATCGAATTTAAATTTTTTTTATCTACTTGGTGAAATTAAACATCCTTTTTAAAAAGTAACTTGTTCACGTAAAAAGTAAAATATTTTATTATTTTAATATAAAAATATTAAATAGTGAATCACGATGTTATCAATGATATTTATAATTACCTAAAATGCAAAACCATTTAGCCTGATATCACCCAAAAAGCTTGCAACACTTTTAAAATATACTTTAATCAGGTAAATATTGCTCTTATAGGCTAGGATACAGTACTCAATTTAAAATTCTCTTTCAATTAATAGAATATTGTTTTAAAATATTGCTTAAATTTAGCCTGATATCACCCAAAAAGCTTGTAACACTTTTAAAATGTACTTTAACATAATCTTACCATCCTCAGGCTAATGGCATGGTAGAGCGAGCCAATCGTACTCTTCAAAATTCCCTTTTGAAGTGTACAAAAGGCAATCAGAAAGATTGGCCTGGAGTTCTACCTGGTATTGTATTTGCCTACAATACATCAAGGCATGAATCCTCAAAATTTACGCCATATGAGATGATGTATGGCAGGAAAGCTTTACTGCCCTGTGAGGTATGATATATATATATATCATTATTTGTATAAAATTATTATACGTAATAAATTTTTATTATTTAAGGATGATAGAGAACCAGAAACAGATCTTGACGATCTTTCTGATACAGATTATGACTGCAATTTCCAAAGAAGGGCAGACAATATGAAAGGCATATTCAAGACTGCAACAAAAAATATTATAAAGGCTCAGCTTAAGCAGCAACGAGATTATAAAACTCGTAATGCTGCTAAGAATGCAATTTATCACATAAATGATAAAGTGCTTGTATGGAATAATCGTCGGGCTGACAGGAAAGGAGGGAAAATGTTGCAGCCTTGGGTAGGTCCTTATACAATTGTTAAAATTGTTAATAGTAAATTTATTATTTTTAACAAAATATTTATACATATTTAGGCAATGTAGAATTATCCTCTTTAATAGGAAAAATTTTACATACTAAGGCTAATATAAGTAATTTAAAGCACTATATAGAGGGTAACAAAGGTATTATTTTTTATATATATGAATATAACTTTTTTTAATGGTAAAGATACAGTCAAAAATATTGCACATTGTGAAACTATAGAGGGTGTTCAAGATCAAGGTAATATCAGTTTATTCATAAAATAATATTGAACAAATAATTAAGTTTGTAGGCTTCTTAAAACTATAGTTGGAGAAGGAGAAGGTAAACAAATGCATTTGGGAAAAAGGAAAATATATTTTTAATTATTATATTTTCATTAGAAGAAGCACTATTTGAAGAAATGTCCTGTGGAATAAAAGTTTCAGGAGAAAGTTTTATTTTTTAAAAATTGGAAAAATTATATTTTTGATAAATCTAAAATTCTAGGGTTGGAATTTAGAAAGGAGGATACTAAAATAAAACGTGTCAAGAGAAAGGGTATAATATATAAAATTATTTAATATATTTTTTTGGATATAGATACTTTTGGTGAAGATCCAATAATAGCTATTAAAAGTATAGTGAGAGAGGAAGGATATATATGTGTACAAGATCAGGGTAGTAATATTTTTTAAAAATATGTTATTATTTAATTATCAAATTTAGATGACCAAATTATTGTGGAAGCAATAATACCAAAGAAAATTGGTGAACTTTTTCTGCCCACAACAAGGAACTCGAAGGTATATCACTCTAAACGGTTCAATTTCAAAGTAATTGGACGTTATCCCAAGATAAAATGTGGTATATTAAAAGAGATTTTCACAACCGATCATATTGTGGGTGATGGGAACTGTTTTTTTAGGTTAGAATCTATATATAATATTTAAATTATTTACCATATTTATAGGTGTATAAGTCAAGAGATATCAAATAGCCAGGAAAATTATAATTACCTTAGGGAGGAATGCATTCTTTTTATGAGGAGCGAAGATTTCAAATTGGAAATGGGAAAATTTATAGGATATCCTGTAGAGGAATACCTAGTTAACAGAAATGTTATGGGAAACGGTGTCTGAGCAACAGAGGTAGAAATATTATCTATGGCCACATTGTTACAGACAAATATATTAATCTATACCCAATATAAATGGGCTTATTATTCGCCCATGAAATTTTTTAATAATATTAAAATATTTAAAGTAAATATTTATTTATGCAATGTAAATAACAATCATTTTGTTAGAATTATATCAATGTGATTATCTGTTCTAATATTTTTATTCCATTATATTTATTGCAATTTAGTTGAAAGATGATAATCGGTAAGTATCTTTTTGTTAAATTTTATTGTAATCATATTTTTATTAATAGTATATTTTTATAAAAAGTACAATAGTTTGACATCCTTTTTATAAGTTTAATTCTATTCAATTGCAAATTTAAATTATATTTATTGCATTTTATATTTTTTATTAATTCCAATTTAGTTGAAAGATGATAATTGGTAAGTATCTTTTTGTTAAATGTCATTGTACTCTATATTTTTATTAATAGTTATTTTTAATAGTACAATAGTTTGACATCCTTTTTATAAGTTGAAATCTATTCAATTGCAAATTTAAATTATATTTATTGCATTATATATTTTTTTTAATACTTCATCTTTTTCTTAAATGTTATTCAATTGCGAATTTATCACAATATATTTATTGCATTATATTTTTTATTAATAGTTTTTTTTATAAAAAAACAATAGTTAGCCATCTTTTTGATGAGTTAAGTACTATTCAATTGCTAATTTATATTATATAGCTTTTTATATTTTTTATTAATAGATATTTTTATAAAAAGTACGATATTGAATCATTTGATGAATGATATGTAATTTATGTTTAAATATGAATAAATTAACCTACCATGTGTATATAGATTTCAATCAAACTTTTTAAAAATTAAGCTATGACGTTTTCGAAGTTAAATTATTTATAGGTATATCAGAAATTAAAATATTATCTATCTCATAAATTTTAATTTTAATTATTTATCACTCATAAGAGTCAATATGCTAAACATATAAACTTTAAGCATCACCTGTCAGTCATAAGTGTTAATATTGCAATATAAAGTCATAAATGTCAGTATTACTAAATAATAGAATCTTTTTAACATTACATGTCAGTCATTAATGTCAATATCATTAAATAATAGAAATTTTTAACATTATGTGTCAGTCATAAATGTCAGTATTACTAAATAATCATAAATGTCAGTATTACTAAATAATAGAAACTTTTAACATATCATGTCAGTCATAAATGTCAGTATTACTAAATAATAGAAACTTTTAACATACAGTCATAAATGTCAGTATTTAATAAAAACTTTTAACATTACATGTCAGTCATAAATGTCATTATTACTAAATAATAGAAACTTTTAACATATCATGTCAGTCATAAATGTCAGTATTACTAAATAATAAAAACTTTTAACATTACATGTCAGTCATAAATGTCAGTATTACTAAATTATATAATGATATTTTAATAAAATATTATTATAACGTCAATCATAAATGTCAGTATTACTAAAGGGAGTTAATTTAAATTAAGTTAAAATATCACACTAAATTTTATAATGTTATTTTATTATAACGTCAATCATAAATGTCAGTATTACTAAAGGGAGTTAATTTAAATTTAAGTTAAAATATCACGTTACACCGGTGTAGTATTGTAAAAACAATACCATCTAAATTCAATACGGTATTGATTCCACAATATTGTAGAATCAATACCGTATTGATAATTTATGACCGAACCTCAACTTTTAAGAATAAAACCTAAAATTTATGAATGAAATCGGAAAAATATTCTTTATTGAATACCTATAACAGGAAAATATTCTATATCAATTGCTGCCTATAATTATAATTTTAAATCAAGCAAGTATAGATAAATGTCAAAAATATTCTTTATTGAATACCTATAACAGGAAAATATTCTATATCAATTGCTGCCAATACTTCCTTTTAATGATGGTACACTTAAATTTATAATAATTTTAAATCAAGCAAGTATAGATAAATGTAAAAAATATTCTTTATTGAATACCTATAACAGGAAAATATTCTATATCAATTGCTGCCAATACTTCCTTTTAATGATGGTACACTTAAATTTATAATAATTTTAAATCAAGCAAGTATAGATAAATGTAAAAAATATTCTTTATTGAATACCTATAACAGGAAAATATTCTATATCAATTGCTGCCAATACTTACATTTTTAATGATGGTACACTTAAATTTATAATAATTTTAAATCAAGCAAGTATAGATAAATGTAAAAAATATTCTTTATTGAATACCTATAACAGGAAAATATTCTATATCAATTGCTGCCAATACTTACATTTTTAATGATGGTACACTTAAATTTATAATAATTTTAAATCAAGCAAGTATAGATAAATGTAAAAAATATTCTTTATTGAATATCTATAACAGGAAAATATTCTATATCAATTGCTGCCAATACTTACATTTTTAATGATGGTACACTTAAATTTATAATAATTTTAAATCAAGCAAGTATAGATAAATGTAAAAAATATTCTTTATTGAATACCTATAACAGGAAAATATTCTATATCAATTGCTGCCAATACTTACATTTTTAATGATGGTACACTTAAATTTATAATAATTTTAAATCAAGCAAGTATAGATAAATGTAAAAAATATTCTTTATTGAATACCTATAACAGGAAAATATTCTATATCAATTGCTGCCAATACTTACATTTTTAATGATGGTACACTTAAATTTATAATAATTTTAAATCAAGCAAGTATAGATAAATGTAAAAAATATTCTTTATTGAATATCTATAACAGGAAAATATTCTATATCAATTGCTGCCAATACTTACATTTTTAATGATGGTACACTTAAATTTATAATAATTTTAAATCAAGCAAGTATAGATAAATGTAAAAAATATTCTTTATTGAATACCTATAACAGGAAAATATTCTATATCAATTGCTGCCAATACTTACATTTTTAATGATGGTACACTTAAATTTATAATAATTTTAAATCAAGCAAGTATAGATAAATGTAAAAAATAATTTATAATTATAATTTTATATAAAGCAGGAACAGATAAATATATAAAATATCCTTTATTGCTAATACTTATAAGGAAAATATTCTACTGCTTTAAAATATCACAAAATTTTTAATGAATCAAATTGGTACATTTAGATTTATAATTATTAATTTACATTTAACAATAACAGATAAATATCAAACAATAAAAGAATATCTAGTAACAGGAAAATATCCATTAATCCTTAAAAATGATCCAGGTAAAAAAAGTAATTTTAGATGTACGGCAAACAATTTTATTGTTAAAGAAGATAGTCTTTATAGAAAAATAAAGAATAAAGAAGGTAAATGTGATCAAAAAATAATAATTTCTATTTATTTATTAGCTTTAGTAATAATGGATGAAGCAGAGAAACAAAGGGTAATATCTATTATTCACATCTGAGGCAACGGCAATACACGTGTAGCCTTCTTCTGAAGTGGGCAGGCTGCAAAGATCAATTCCTATTTGAGCCCATGGAAAAGGTGGTACATCTATTGGATGCAAAGTGGAAGAAATTTTGGTAAATCTTACATTAGCCTTCTGACATCTATCACATGATTTTATAAAATCAATAGTGTCTTGAAATAATTTTGGCCACCAATATCTATAAACACAAAATTAAGAATTCTAACATCATAATAAGTACCTTTCAGAGAGTTTAAGTTGAGTTTTATTAATACCTAGGTGGGCACCAATAGCTTTAGACTCTAAGGATATATCTGATCCTTGGTGAATAATAGATATTACCCTTTGTTTCTCTGCTTCATCCATTATTACTAAAGCTAATAAATAAATAGAAATTATTATTTTTTGATCACATTTACCTTCTTTATTCTTTATTTTTCTATAAAGACTATCTTCTTTAACAATAAAATTGTTTGCCGTACATCTAAAATTACTTTTTTTACCTGGATCATTTTTAAGGATTAATGGATATTTTCCTGTTACTAGATATTCTTTTATTGTTTGATATTTATCTGTTATTGTTAAATGTAAATTAATAATTATAAATCTAAATGTACCAATTTGATTCATTAAAAATTTTGTGATATTTTAAAGCAGTAGAATATTTTCCTTATAAGTATTAGCAATAAAGGATATTTTATATATTTATCTGTTCCTGCTTTATATAAAATTATAATTATAAATTTAAATGTACCATCATTAAAAATGTAAGTATTGGCAGCAATTGATATAGAATATTTTCCTGTTATAGGTATTCAATAAAGAATATTTTTTACATTTATCTATACTTGCTTGATTTAAAATTATTATAAATTTAAGTGTACCATCATTAAAAATGTAAGTATTGGCAGCAATTGATATAGAATATTTTCCTGTTATAGGTATTCAATAAAGAATATTTTTTACATTTATCTATACTTGCTTGATTTAAAATTATTATAAATTTAAGTGTACCATCATTAAAAATGTAAGTATTGGCAGCAATTGATATAGAATATTTTCCTGTT